CAAGTAATATCTATAGATCTCAAAAAAAAAAATTATGAAAATCATGAATTTTTGATGTTGATAAGAATTGTTTGAATTAATAAATGAGACATTAATTATAACTTAATTAGGCTATAAATGATCCCTTTTTAATTATCATTTCTATTAAATATAACTAACATTTATATATTAATATGATTGTGACTATTTTTTTTATCATTTATCTAAAATATGAGTAATATTAATATGTAAATATGAATGTTGATGAACAGGTAATATCAATCAAATTATTAAAATTAATATTTTTTAATTCAAATAATATTAGAGAGTTATGAAAAATATGCTAATATAAATAAAAAAAATTATTGTGGGGATAATAAAATTATTTTAAAGAGTCTAAAAAGGGATTTTTTWAAAAAAAAATATTGTTCCAAATAAAACTTATTTTAAAAATATATTTGTTTAATTAAAATATTAAAAATATTGTAGGTTTTGAAACTTATTTTAAAAATATTGTACTTTTAAAAAATAGAAAGTTGGTCGCGACCATTTAGACGCGGCGTCACCGCCACGTAAATTTTTTTAAAAATTTGAACGTGGTCGTCTTAAGAGACGACCATCTGGTCGGTTAATTTTTGGAGAAAAAAAATAAAATTTGTTATATTATATATTATTTAGTAGTTTTAATGTAAAAAATTGCTTAGTGGTGCAGTTGATGTACTACTACCTTAATATTTCTTCCATCCCAAATTCAAATCTTGGGTAACACACTTTTTTATTTTATAACCATTAATCATCTCTCTTTTTTTTTATATATATATATATATATATATATATATATATATATATATATATATATTATTTGTCTCTTTTTTACTTAATATTATCATTTCCATCCAAACTTCTATACATTATTATTTCTATTCTATATATTATTATTCATTTAATAATAATAATAAAGTTATTATTATTACTATTATTGTATGTTCTTTTATTTTATATATTATTGTTTATACTATTATTTATATTAAGTAAAAAAGAGAAAATAGATGATTAATGGTTATAAAATAAATAGAGACAACCATCCCACATGGTCTCTTCAAGAGACGACCACCTCCTAAATTTAAAACAAAGTTACGTGGCGTCCAGCGTGGCACCACGTTGCATGGTCGTCGTCTCTGAAGAGACGACCATGTTGCACTTTTTTAAAACTACTATATTTTTAAAAAAAGTTTTAAAGTATACCATATTTTAAACAACTTTAATTAAAATATAATATTTTAAAATAACTTTTATTATTAACATTATTAATAAAAAACACCCGTCTAAAAAGGAGTAGAAAATATTCTTTTAAAAAGATATATAAAATATGGTTTTTGAATTTTGGTAATATTTAGGATGTGTTTGGGAACGAGTGATTTTGAAAAAATAGATTTAATTATAATTGATTTTCCAAAATTACCATCCAAATGATACCTTAAAAATCAATTTAAAGTGATTTTAAGCTATCTTAAAATAAAATTTTTTATTTTACCAAACAGGAAATTGATTTTGACAATAGTAAAAGTAATTTTAACCTGCCTACAATACTTCAGAACACTCTCGTGCTATGGAGGGCATCTTTACATTTAATAGACAGACCAATGAAATTTGGTGGAGAAGAAAATGGACTGCTCACTTTTATTATGGGTCAAGCCCAAGAGAGTGAAACTTCTTGTGCTGAAAAGCCCACAAATTTTGGTAAATCAAAGTAATTTTTAAATACAGCATAATTTAAACAAAATATTACCAAATTCAAAATATAGCAAACAAAAATTAGAATACAGGTAAGTTAATCAAAATTCTGAAAACAACGTTTTTTGAGTTTGAAACTTTAAAATGAAGTACATTCAAAAATAAAAATTTTGATAAAATATATTATTTTAGGTTGTAAACTCATTTCATTTTTGTTAAAATTAAAATATATAAAATATAGGTTAAAAAACACTTTTAATCTCTGTACTTTCACTAAAGTTGTAATTTAGTCACTGAACTTTAGTTTGTAACGATTTAGTCCATGCATTTTAAAATTGGTAACTATTTAGTAATTGAACTTTAATATGTAACAATTTAGTCCTTGTATTTTAAAGTTGGTAACAATTTAGTCCTTATCTGAAATTCTTTTTGTTAAGTTTTTTGTATGTATAGATTGATAAACTAAAGAGGGACCAAATATGTTTATGAATTAGAAAGATTAAATTGTTATATGATAAAATTTGACACTTAATTTTAATAAAAAATTTTACGATAGGGATTAAATTGTTACAAATTTTAAACTACAATGACTAAATCGTTACAAATTAAAGTTCATGAACTAAATTGTTACTTTAGGGAAAGTATAGGGACTAAATTGTTACAAATTAAATTCATGGACTAAATTATTTACTTTAGTAGAAGTATAGGGACCAAATGTGTTTTTTAACCTAAAATATAATATATTATAAACTAGAAAAGTAATAATTATACAAAATTTATAACAAAAATATTAATAAATTAATTAAAATTATTTTAGATTAAACTAAATATTTAGTTGGTAACTACTACTAGTTTACAAATATATGACAAAACGTATATCAAACAATTGAGATTCAATTTTTCAATATGCTACCAAAACATCTCTCAAAACATTGAAAACAAATAATACAACTATATTTTTTTATCGAATCTTTTGTTTTCAAATTTCTGTTTTCTAATAACCAACTAAATGACAATGCTTATAGCTTACCACGATTATTTAATATATATAAAAGTATTTATGTTTAAAATTGAACAATTTTAATTACAAAAACTGTCTTGTTGAATAAGAAACAGTCATAATTAGGAATTTGGGGTTATTAATTGTATGGTTAAATTTGTGCAATAATTTACTAAGCAATTGGTGTGGACAATTTATTATTGAACAATTAATAACCTCTCTAGAGAGATTTACTGCTTATAGCTTCCCACATTCTTTCCAAAATAAAATAATAAAGAAAAACTCAATTAACTGAGGTTATTAATTGTAACACTTATTTAAATTAATGGTTGGATTGGATGGAATTAAAAGTTTCATGTTAAAATTAATATGGAAAATGGACTGAGTTAGTAGAATGGTAAAAATAAATGTTTTCTAAATTTTCTTAATGGGGATTTATCCTTGTGGCTATCGGCTCATTCATTTACTTCTTTATCCATTTTTTTTTTAGTTTAAATAAGAGACAGAATTTGAATTTTTCTATTTCTGGACCTTATATACGTAATTAAGTTGATTCATTCCGATTTAAGTAGATATACAAGAGATCATGTAACTCCTTCGCATAATGAGTTAAATAAAGAATTCAATGTTAACAACAATGACGAGGATAAGATACTTGATATTCGAAATGATTTGCAGTATCTCATTATATAGATGTTAAATATTAAATATCTAACCATCGATGTTACATATATCTTTTCTTTTTTTTCTTTTTCGTTAGCTACAATACTAGAAAGTTGACTTGACAAATGAATTCGGATTTTTGTCAAAATTATTAACAAAAAGGTAATAGCAAAAGAAAAATAACCTTTTATGTATGTATACACACAAAATCATCTTTCAGGCGTATGTATAAATTTTGTAGGCAACCACAAAATTATCATAATTTTGATAAAACATTCCAAAAATAAGGTCTTAAATAATTGCAAATATGCATGGTCAAAATACAATTAAATTAGTTATTATAGTTTATCAATATATACATATTATTACGATGGTAGTTAATTGATATTCAAATAATGTCAACCAGAAAATAGTCCAACTAGTCAAGGCACATATCTTCGACCAAAATATCTTGAGTTCGAATCTCTACCTATCCCCTCCCTTTTCTTTCCTCCCTGGCACGTATTGAACTAAAAAATATATATATATATATATATATATATATATATATTCAAATTAATCATTTATTTATGTTAATCAATGTGAATACCCATGTATAATAAAAATGCACTGGTTAATATTATTCAAATTTATTAATTATTTGTCCATTTTTTTAAATGGGTAATTGGGTATAATTGCCATTATTATTTAAAAATGAGATATATTTTCAATTACTTAAAAAAGAAGATATAGTTGAAAATAATTTAAAAATGAGAAGCTATCAGTAAATTTTTCCTTTTTCATGCAAATTTTATTGACTATGTAATTTAAGAACCGTAATAAAACAGATAAAAACCAAATATTTAAAACTTGTAAACCAAATGTCCAAAACCAAACTTATATCCTTTTTTTTGCCTTCTCTTTTTAGTATGACCCAAATTTGACTATTTCGAGAACACGAGCAAGGTGGATAAAGTTGAGTTATTCGGAGCAAGGTACGTGAGAAAATACCTGCACCAAAATACTTTGACGTTCAAGTCAGTAAGAATCTGACCTATAGCTCTCAAGTTGAAGAATCATAATTGTCGCTTAAAGTAGCATCAGCGGCAAAGGTACAGCTTTCTTCAACGGCAGAAAAGAAAGTTGACTTTGTTGACCCATATTAAAGTAGAGACGCAGTACACATGGAAATTAGATGTACAGTTACAGACGGCTACGCAAGATACTTAGTGGTTAAACTCTTAGAGGCCATTAGTGATTATTGGTCGTATTTTGCTCTCCAACAAAGTACAACAACATTTGGGGGCGAAGATTCAAACTCACGGCCTTTTAGTCGAAGATACATGCATTAACAAATTAAACTATGTACGTCAAAACGAGTATCACTCAGCAATATTAATTACCTCCAACCAAGAGGTTGTGAGCTTGATCCTCCACTCAGAGCTGGGCGAGATTATACTTTTTTTTTCAAGTAATCTTAAAAATAGATGTAATACAAATTTAAAATTTACTTAAAATCCATGGCGATGTTATTGAGAACTAAAATTTCCCCTTTTATTTTTGTAATGGTAATTTTACAATACATATGGGAATCTCCAATGACCCAACCAAGTTAATATTCTTCTTTGGAGGCCTTTGTCCTTTATACATGTAAAACTGATTATATATAACTCTAATTTCTTATCATCTTTCTCGAGAAATTAAAAAGAAAAAAAAATCATCTTTATCTGAAATCCAAAAAACCCAAACAGAAAATCAAGATGTTCGGCGAACTCCGGCATGAGTCGGCGATCCAGGCGCCGGCCGCCGTCGTATGGCAGCTCTACGGCGGCCTTGAGCTGGGACGACTTGTCGAGAATCGGCTCTGGAATCTAATCCAGAAAGTTGAGGTGGTTGAAGGAGATGGAGGAGAAGGAACTGTTCTTAATCTCATTTTCCCACCAGGTAATTTTAATTTCGTAATCGTCTGTAAATTTTCTGGGAAAATGTTAGAAATTTTCTGGGAAAATGCTTGAGAGAACTCCGGATTTCTATATGCTTCTTTTGGATTCACTTGGAAATGGATTTTTATAGAAACGGATTTGATCTATTAGAGATGTTTCAAAAAATTTTAATGATATGAAATATATGATAAATATATAAGATACTAAATTATCATATGGATTGATGAGCAATTTTGTTTAGAACCAATTTTGAAAATTACTTTAAAACATGAATTTAGTTGAGCAGTAATAAATAACTATCTCTAGATGGTTTTGAATCCTCCAGTCTACTTGTTGGACTAAAAAAATAAATAAAATAATTTTCCTTTTCTTTTAATATCTCATTTGTTTTAATTTAAGCTTCCAAAAAAAGAACTTGAGATAAGCAACTAGTGAGACTAATAATCTCCTTTTTTGAACTAATGCCCAAAAACATGAATATGAATGGCTATTTTCAAATGGTTTATTAACATCCTTAACAAAAGAAAAAGTTTCTCTTCTTTGATGTGGCAAGTTATCCAAAGTAAGAAATCATCTCCAATTTTTTTCCGTCCGTATGTTGGCACAATAAGGAAAAGAAGAAAAAGATAAAGTTGCTTTTCAATTAAGCATGACATCAGATTGACAAAGGATTTGAAATAAATCCTAAAAACTTTCCCCCCGAAGATTTAGGGGAAAGCTCGGTCAAGTAATATATAGACAAGTGTTTTTTAAATTTTGTATAATTTCTACGTGGTCCATTTGTCTATATGTTATTGGACCACGGAGGAATTCAAGAGAGAAGTTTTATCTTTTAATGTTAGTTATATGATTAAGGTTAAATTACAAAATTAGTTCTTTGCAGTGTCACAGTTGTATCGATCCTTAAACTTTAAACAAGTGTGTGATAAATTCTTTAACTTTTAACTTTATGTCTAATAGGTGTCTCTCGACTTTAGAATTGCGTAATAGGTCCTTAAAACTTCAATTTTTGTATCTAGGTCCTTGAACTATCCAACATTCTTTAAAATTTATAGATCTATTTGGCACAAAATTAAAAAAGTCACTGTTCTATTAGACAACTCTACTATCACACGGCTTTCGTCCTAACATTAGGACATCGCCTTCCTTTGCCTAATAGTTTGTCCTCAAACCAAACAATATGACTTTCACCCTACATGACTCTTCATCATGTGGAAATAGTTTTTGGAACTAGTTTTCTAAATTCATTTCAATTGATGCCTATTTACGAGTGACGAATGTTAAATCCCCATCCGTTCCACTATATTTGTTGCGTAGCTCATGCCCCATGGCTCGAACACAATAATTTTTTTTATTGTTCCTCACATAGTTCTGTAAATTTTATAAAATATCAAATAGATCAGGACCTATTAGGACATATAGATCTATTAAACACTTCTTAAAGTTCCAGACCTATTAGAAATAATTTTGAAAATTCCCGCCCCAAACTCGCAATTTATACATACACTAATGTTCAAAAGAGAGATAGCCAACAAAACTTTTGAATATTTCGTGTTAGAAAATTGAATTCAAGTACATTATATATTTGCACACATGCAGGTTTAGGTGCCACAAGTTACAAAGAGAAGTTCACAAAGATAGATAATGAGAAGCGAATCAAAGAAACAGAAATAGTGGAAGGAGGATTCTTGGATCTTGGCTTTACTCTTTATAGAGTTCGGTTGAAGATAATTGAGAAAGATGATGATACCTCCATTGTTGAATCCACAATTGAATATGAGCTCAAGGAAGAAGCTGCTGCAAATGCCTCTCTTGTTACCATACAGCCTCTTATAGACATTGCTGAAGCTGCAAATAGTCATCTCCTTGACATCCAAAAAGCCTAAAGATATATGTAATATGATGTTTAATTTACTCTCCAAGAAGAAAAAGGCTGTTAGAAATCCTTGATAATGTTACCTAATTTATTTGAGTTTGTTTGTGATCTTTAATCTTGAGAATAAATGTGAGGAACTTTTGGAAAACATTGTTTTTTTTGTTGTGTGGTTGATATAATTTTCTTTTTATATTTGACCCTAAGTTTACAAGATGTATGTGCGGGTATAAATGAAAGAATACCTATCGAAATTGGTGTGGTGTAGTTTGCACCAGTAAGATTTCAATAACTAGAATTTGTTGTTCGTGCTGAACAACAATGTGACCAGCCTGCAAGGGTTGAACTTGAGACTCCTTCAAAGCACTTGCCACTGCACTATCCTCTAAAGACATAACTCAAGTTCTTGCACGCCTTTTCTCGTTCTCCAACTCTAGTCCTTTCTAGAGAGCAATAATCTCCCACTCATTCAAGTTTATACAATTTATCTAATTTCATGAAACTTAAAAAAACCTTTTTAAGTAAAATTACAATGTCAAGAAGAACAAATTTATTCCCCTTGTATTTTGTAATATAAAATCACGAGATATGGAATTTCCAAGGACCAATCAAAATTTGTGGTGTGTGGAGGCCTTAGTCTTTACATAAAAAGACCACACATCTCTTATTTGCTCTGCCATCTCTGCAAGAAAAAAGAACAGAAAAAATGGTGAGCGAAATCAGTGATGAAACTGAGATTCAGGCGCCGGCGGCCAGAGTGTGGGAGGAGATCTACGGCGGCCTCCGGTTAGGAAAATTCCTTCCACTTCACCTCCCAAACCTCATTGAAAAAGTCGAGGTCCTTGAAGGCGATGGAGGAGAAGGAACTCTTCTCCATATCACCTTTGCACCCGGTAAATTCATTACTCCTCGATCTTTTAAGGTTGTTTCTATTTAGTTCTTCGTCGTCTCTATGGTTAGAGAAATTGTTTACTAATCATGCATCATGTTTATGTGAAACTAACTAAAATTTATCTAATAACTTTGCGAGAAAAAAAATATATATATCTACTAGATTTGTAAGTAAAGTATCAATATTTTACTAATAATATTAAGATTTAGAGACTGATTGAAACATTTTTTAGAGAAAATAAATACACCATCCAAATTTATAATTTAACAAAAAGTAAACTAAATTATCATGGGATGGTCTAGTGGTCAATAAGAATCAATGTAAATAGCAAAGGATTTAGAAGAATAAGTTCAAATCATGGTAACCACCTACTTGATACAAACACGTGAATCCATATTATGTATTTAGGATATATTTTCTTTTTGAAAGCTGAGAGTATAATCCCAAACTTTTGATTAGTTTGTTTTTTGTTAAATAAAAAAAATCTTAATGGCTTACTAAAATAATAATCCAATTCCCAATTTGGTCATTTAATCTTTTAAAAATCTCAATTTTACCCCTGATGTATCAAAAAATTTTAATTTACACCCTTCCATAAAAAATAAAATTGTTGTTTTATTAATATTTGTTTTATCAATATATTTAGATACCTATATGTTCTACACAAAAAATTCAACTCATCCATTAACTAAGTTCGACTAATGCATTACCAAATTTGTTTCTTTCAAGTGACATGTCTGTTTATCTAAACGTGTTAACGAAACAACAATTTAATGACACATCAACTCTTACTTATTAACAAAATGTTCCACGAAATGACTTAATAGAAACTTTTTAATATATTAGGGGTAAAATAAAAATTTTAAAAGATTTAAATATCAAATCGAGAAAAACTTAAAAGATTAAAGACGCGTATAGTTACCAGATTAAAAGGTTAAGAATATATATTCAGCCAAATTGAAATCAAGTTGCATAGTTTTAGAGCCAATGTAGCCGAACAAAAGGTTTCCACACCATGTAGGTTTAGGAGGTCCTGCAAGTTACAAAGAGAAGTTCGTGAAGATAGATAATGAGAAGCGTATCAAAATAGCAGAGATGGTGGAAGGAGGCTACCTGGATTTCGGCTTTACTGTTTACAGGTTTCGTATCGAGATTATTGAGAAGGACGAACACAGTTGCATCGTCAAGTCTACGGTCGAATACGAGTTAAAGGAAGAAGCTGCTCAAAATATTTCACTTGCTACTGTACAACCTTTAGTGGCCATTGCTCAAGCTGCCAACAACTATTTCCTCAACACCCAACAGCCCAAAGATGCATGATTCATTCACATATGATAATCAGCTCTTGACTTTTCATGTTTACTTTGAGAAAGAAGGGGCTACAAGTGATTGAGTGATTACAATTTTTTATCTCAGTTTTGTTGCCGTCTTCAATTTTAAATGAATAAACAAATTAATGTAAATCCAAATGCATATAAACAAATCCAACATAAGAATTAATATGTAGCAATCCAAAACCTTACATGAAAGGCTTACAGAATCTATATTTGAAATGCATATGCATGTAGTAAAAATGAAATCATAGAAAATAGACACTGAAATCCTCATTTTGCACAAACTTCAGTGTAGCAGCAGCATTTTCTAGCAGTTGTTAATTAGTTATGACTATATTTTTAGCTAGCTATTAAGTATTGTCAGCTGTAACAATTTGATCTGCCAAAACTATAGTCCTGCTTTAAGGTCCACAAATTTCACTCACATTTCCCGTACAAGGCTGAGCATTAGTTATGACTATATATTTTTAGCTAGCGATTAAACATTGTCAGCTGTAACAATTTGATCTGCCAAAACTATAGTCCTGCTTTAAGGTCCATAAATTTCACTCACATTTCCCGTCTGAGCATTA